TATCGTTATATGGGAGCTATACGTTATCGTTAACCTATATAGAGAATTCTCTGTCGGGGGGTAAAGTGCTCACAAAGAACCCCTTGTGTACAAAGAACCCCTTGTGACCATTCCGTTGAAAAATATGGCTAAAAACATCAAAATACCGAATATCGGGGGTACCGTTATATGAGGGCTATACTATATCGTGGACCTATATAGATAATTCTCTGCTGAGGTATAAAGTATCCACAAGAAACTCCTTGTGTGAATTTTCAGCCAATTCCGATGAAAAATGTGGATAAAATCATAAAAATACCGAATATCGGGGGGTACTGTTATATGGGGGATATACGATATCGTGGACCTGTATTGACAATTCTCTCTCAGGGGGTGAAGTACTCACAAGGAACTACTTGTGGGGATTTTAAGACAATTCCATTGAAAAGTGTGGCTAACATCATCAAAATACTGAATATCGGGGGGTACAGTTATATGGGGGATATACGATATCGTGAACCGATATAGCCCATCTTCGAACTTGACCTGCCTGCAGACAAAAGAGAGATCTGTGCAAAATGTTAGCCTCCTATCTTAATTCGCTTAGACTGTAGCGTGATTACAACAGACGGACAGACGGACGGACAGGGCTAAATAGTCTTAGAATTTTACGCTGATCAAGAATATATATACTTTGTTGGGTCTAAAATGATTATTTCGATGAGTTACAAACGGAATGACGAACTTAATATACCCTCCATACTTTTTTGGTGGAGGGTATAAAAACAGAAACATCAGAAGGTTCAAAAAATAAAGAAGTGACTTAATTGAAACCCGCGTGCAATAGCCGAAAATGGCTCGTGAGCTGAATATATCACAATATTCCGTTCGGCAATTATTGAAAAATGAGCTCGGGGTAATTCCATTGAAATTCCAAAAAGTGCAAGAACTTACACCGCAACAGAAAGAAAATAGACTCAAAAGAGCTAAAGAGTTGGTTCACTTGGCTGAAAGGATTGAACTGCCGAATTTGGTTTTCTCCGATGAGAAAACATTCGTAGTCCAGCAGTTTATAAACAAACAAACAAAATGATCGTGTTTACAAAGAGGTCAGCTGAAATCGCCGGCCATGGTGATGGTGTGGGCCGCCATAACAGCCGATGGTCGCTCTCTGCTCGTATTAATTGACCGTGGCATCAGAATAAGTGCCGAATATTATTGCGAAAATATTCTGGTCGGTGTATTAAAGCCTTGAGCACGCAAACATTTTGGTCGCAGACCTTGGACATTCCAACAGGACTCAGCACCACCACACTCAGCACTTTCCACCCAAGAATGGTTACAAAATGAGGTTCCTCGCTTCATTTCCAGCGCACAAAGGCCACCAAAATCTCCGGATACCAATCCGTTGGACTATTGTGTCTGGAGTATTGTGGAAAACAAGGTTGGCACTAAAAATACCAAAGTGTCGATCGCCGGGAATGGACCAAAATACCGCAGAGCAACATCATTGGAGGCTTGAAGGCCATAATCAACAGTTCTCTGCATGGATTTTTTTTTCATACTTGAAACTCATAGTCCGAACTTACAGCAAATTCGGTTTGAAAGTGTGAAACACTCAAAAAACTTTAAATCTGCCGGTACAGTTATATGGGACCTATACTAAAACGTGGGCCCATATATAGCCCATTTTAGGTACATTATGTCTTCGCCAATATTTCTGGCAAAAATCAGGCAAGCTTTCAGTTGAGCTATTAAAGGGGTAAATTGATATTTTTCTTCAAAACCCCAATTCAGCCTAGAAACAGGTATATCAAATATTGTGAAAATCTATTCAAACCTAGCGGTAGCTCTCATATATATGTTTCATCCGATTTGGTATTTAACTCCCTTTCAATCGTAATAGGTACTCCAAAACAAGGATATCTGGTATCAGATATGAAACGTTGATTAAAAATACCTCTACCGATGTTTGTCGACATCGGCTCAGATTTGAATATAGCTCCCATATATATATCTCTATCCGATTTTACGTTTATCTTGCACCAAACATGTAAAATCATACCAAATAGGATAGACTTTGGCATATTCATAGGAATTTGGCCGGGAAACAATACGACAAATGTGGTGAAATTTGGCTCGGATATAGTCTTAGCTCCGATATATATGTTTTAATTTAAGACTTATCAAAATATGTACGATATGTATCAATGGTATTTGTTAGGGGAGATTCGTCAAATTTGGTGGAAGGAGTGGATGTAACTCCCGTTTTTATTACCCCTCGATTTCAGATTTTATCTTCTCTATTGCCATAATACGCATTCAAAAATAATCATAGTTGGCATGGTAAACTTTTATTTGCATATTATGCATTATCGTGTAGGGTATCATATAGTCGGCATCGCCCAACTCCTGACCTTCCTTTACTGGTTTATTTTTAGCTATTGCCGGCTTTGATGTAAGCTTTACCAAATAGCAGTCCGATGTCACCTTTTCTATTAATGACATTGTTAGGAAACGTTTCTCCTTTAAGAATAATATGTGGATCGATGAGCCATCTTGTTGAAAATAAACTTTGTGCAGGTTAATACCATCCAACTCCGACCAAACATAAATCATGAAACTTTGAAAAGAAAACAAGTAAACAAACATTAAGTTCGGCCGGGCCAAATTTTTAATACCCTCCACCTTAGGGTAAAGTAAACATTAGAAGAAATGTGGCAAAAACCATTAAAATGCCGAATATCGGCAGGTACCGTTATATTGGGGCTATACCAGTGTTTCGCTAAAGCATCTAGAACCCATTATGACCTACAAATACCAATTTTTAGACAAATCCGTGAAAAAAAAATGTGGCAAAAATCATCAAATTACCGAATATTGGGAGGTACCGTTATATGGGGGCTATACCAAAACGTGGACCTATAATTATAATGAATCGCCACACGAACTAGGACCCATTATGATCTACAACTACCAATTTTCAGAGAAATTCTTGAAAAAATGTGTCAAAAATCATCAAAATACCGAATGATGGGAGGTACCGTTATATGGGGACTATATCAAAACGTGGACCTATACATACAATGTTTCGCCACACGAACTAGGACCAATTATGACCCACACATACCAATTTTTAGACAAATCAGTGAAAAAATTTGGCAAAAATCATCAAAATACCGAATATCGGGAGGTACCGTTATATGGGGACTATACCAAATCATGGACCTATACATGCAATGTTTCGCCACCCGAGCTGGAATCCATTATGACCAACGAATACCAATTTTTAGACAAATCCGTGAAAAAATATGGCAAAAAAAAAATTAAAACACCGAATATCGGGAGGTACCTTTATATGGGGGCTATACCAAAACGTGAACCCATACATGCAATGTTTTGCCACACGCACAGGGACCTGTTATGACCTACAAATACCAATTTTCAGACAAATCCGTGAAAAAATGTGGCATAAATCATTAACATACCTAATATCTGGAGGTACCGTTATATGGGGACTATACCAGAACGTGGACCGATATATCTCATTTTCAATACCAACCATCCTAGACACAATACAAATTGCTCTGCTAAATTTTGGCGCTCTACGTCTAATAATGTGGGCTATGTCGTGATTTCAACCGACAGTCAGAAGGACAGACAGACGGACCTCGTTAAATCGACTTAGAATTTTATGCTGATTGTGAATATATATACTTTATGGGGTCTACGACGAATATTTAAGGATGTTACAAATGGAATGACAAAGTGAATATACCCTCCTTTCCAAGGTGGAGGGTATAATAATCTTGGCTTTCTTCCACAATTTGAGCTACAGGATCAGAAACTTCTTCCGACTGTTTGCATATGAAAAAGTGCACTAAATTCATGGTTGGATAGTGAGTGAGTGAGGGTACACCAAGCATAAGTCAGTGTCCTAGGAAACATAACTTTTCAAAAAATATTAGGCGTTTCAGTAAATACTTTCCCAATATCCTACTGTGTTGGTAGCTTTTCTTTATCTCCTTTCATCCGGGCACTGTTAAATGCAGTCGACCGTTTTTTTCCCGGTAACAAACACTGGCACATCCAAACACATATGCACACACATACACACACACTTGTGTCCCCAAGAGCTTTGCATTGTGTTCCTTTCTTTTTGCTTAAATTGCAGTGAATTATCTCCTACCCCAGTTGGGATGAAGGAAAACCTCAGCTCGCTGAGAAATACTAAATTGCAGTAACAACAAAAACAACATGGCAATCGTGTTTGACTTTTTGTTATAAATGTATGGAAGGGTGGTAGTGGTGGTGACAGAGGCTAAGGTCCAGCACAAAGGCACTGAACTGCAGGGACGTAATGCACGCACCAGGATGTGATGTGATGGGTGTGTCTGTGTGTGTGTGTGTGTGTGCGTGCGTGCATGGCAAGGGATTTAGAAGAAGTGAAACGTAGCAAACCAAAAAGAAAATACACGCAACAACAATGCCTGGATGGATTGTTGTTGTAGTTACTTTTTTCTGTTATTTTGGAACAGTTTTTAGTCCTTCTGCCGGCAGAAATTTAGTTAACGACGTCGATGATGATGATGATGGCGACGACGACAACGACAGCAACCATAACAGCGGGCACCAGGCACGCGTTTACATGACAACAGACATTAAAGGATACAGGTGAGAGAAAAAACAAACCAAGCGTGGTTTGAGTATGGGGTGAAAAACTGGAAAATAAAAACCAGGATATAAAAAGAAACCCAAAAAGTTTTTCCAAACCATTTTGGGGATACTTCCTCCTTTTCGTGGTATTTATTTTCTCTTAATAATAAACACCCCTCAGTTAGAAACTCTCTTAATTGTGTGTGGCTCTCTTTGCGGCTGATTTTTCCCAAAAGGGTGTGAATGCCGGCATTGTTTCAACAGCCACCATAGCGTTAGCTAAAAGAGTTCAGCTATATGTTTTGTTGGGGTTGTTGTTCTCTCCTCGTGCTCTCCACACAGGATATTCCAATGTTTCCAATTCGATTGCACAGCGAACGGGAGTTAACGTGCCAGGACATCGGGCAGCTGGGCACATACTGTTATCAATCGACAAACCATAAGGATCGTCGTCCTCAGTCGTACGTGTTCGTTTGTTGCTTTCGTTCGTTCATTTTTCGAGAACATTCAGTTTTAATAATCTTTAGTTTATTGTTTTCGGACTCCTCTGCACTCTATAAATGCAATAATTTTGTGTTGAAACCAACCAAAAAGGGAAAACTAGCTAGAAAAATACCCAACAAATCCAAGGAAACCTAAGAAAATATAAAAACAAAAAACAAAAACAACATCATCACCGACAACAAAAAAAAAACACCTTAAGTAGGTTTTCAGTTTCAACCTCTAGTCCATTCAAAACTCGGTTCACAATTTTGACTTAAGTTTCGTTAAAAATTGATTTTTGACAACAACAACAACCAAGACAAACCAACACCGGCTTCCAAACAAATAAAAGAAAAAAATAGACACTACTCAAATCCGAGTTGTACTTTGGCAAAACTTAAACAGAACAACAGCCAAAAAACAAAGAACACCACCAACCAAAAGTAAAACAAGGAGGAAAAAAGATTTTAACGGGCAGTTTGCAATACTATTTTGTAACGTAAAAAATTATTAAAACAACATTCGTAACAATTTATTCAAGATAATTGTTAAGAATACAAAAGGCCAAATTATTTAAAACAATCTAAACTTTGTTAAATTAAAACAATTCTCTTCGTAAATATCTTCGTCTATGTGTGCATAAATTGTGTTCAACGTCGTGTTTTTTTCTAGTCAAATTTTTGTTGAGTAAAAAAAAATTAATTAAATAAACGGTTTAAATAAAATTTTCCCCGCTACCCATTTTCTTTTGTCTGCTAACATTCGGTTATATTTGAAATTTAGTATAAAATACATTTCCGAGAGACTTCCGGGTCTACGTTTACTGGTACATGGAACAAAATATCTTCAGCAAATAGAAATGTAAGTATGGGAATATGAATATTTGTATCCGTTAGAGGAGTAAAGACGACAACAATCTTAGGTCATTTGAAATGCATAACTCCCTAAAAGTAGGCTACATTTAAAAAAATAAAATCCCAAAGGCAGGCCTGTCTACACATCTGGTTCGAGTTATAAATAAAGTCAATTTTTCCCATTTTTTATATAGTTCTTCCGAAAGTATATACTGTACAAAACTACATATTATAGGGTGAGATAAAAAAATACAACAAAGTCAAACGCCATAATTTTTAATTTTTTTCTTAATTTTATTGAATGAAAGCAAGAGATGTCGGAAATAGCATCAGATTTTAGAATAAGTTTAGATTTGTTCGAATTGGTCACTTTTGGCACAAATTATGGCCTTCAAACGACAAATGAAACCTTCACACGCTGCCCGAATGTTGCTCTATGGTATTTTGGCCCCTTCCCGGCGAAGCGCAGGCATGAGGTGATCGACACTTTGGTATTTTTTAGTGCCAACCTTGCTTTCCAAAATTCTCTAGACACAATAGCCCAACGGATTGTATCCGGAGATTTTGGTGGCCATTGTGCATTGGAAATGAAGCGAGGAACCTCAATTTGTAAACATTCTTGGGTGGCGCGTGCTGAGTCCTCTTGTAATGTCCAAGGTCTGCGGCCAAAATGTTTGCGTGCCCAAGGCTTTTATACACCCTCCAGAATATTTTCGCAATACTATTCGGCATTTATTCTGATGCCACGGTCGATTAATACGAGCGGAGATCGACCATGGGCTGTTATGGCGGCCCACACCATCACCATGGCCGGCGCTTGAGTTCTGGTGGCCAACCGAAGGTGCACATTTTCAGCTGACCTCTTTGGCAATTAAACACGATCATTTTGTTTGTTTACAAATTGCTGGACAACGAATTTTTTCTCATCGGAGAAACCCAAATTCGGCAGTTCACCACTTTAATCACACTATGTACATTTAAGTCAGATTTTGACTATTGAAGTCTTCTGAAACCTATGGTAGAATTTTATGACAAATAATGTTTTTAAGCAATGAAACCGTCACACGCTGCATGAATGTTGTTCTTCGGAATTTTGGCCCATTTCCGGGCGAAGCGCTTGCTTGAGCTGATCGACACTTTGGTGGTTTTGAGTGCCAAACTTTCTTTCCAAAATACTCCAGACACAATTGTCCAACGGATTGGTATCTGGATATTTTGGTGGCCATTGTGCGCTGAAAATTAAGAGAGGAACCTCATTTTGTAACCATATTTGGTGGCGCGTGCTGAGTCCTCTTGGAATGTACAATGTCTGCGGCCAAAATGTTTGCGTGCCCGAGGCTTTAATACACCATCCAGAATATCTTCGCAATAACATTCGGCATTTATTCTGATGCCACGGATTATTTTTACGGTTTATTATTCGGCAGTTCACCACTTTCGGCCAAGCAAAGCAACTCTTTAGCTCTTTTGAGTCTATTTTCTTTCTGTTGCGGTATAAGTTCTTGCACTTTTTGGAATTTCAATGGCTTTACCCGAGCTCATTTTTCCAATATTTGTCGAATGGAATATTGCGATATGTTCAACTCACGAGCCATTTTTTCAAGTCGCTTTTTTACTTTTCGAACCATTTTTGCAGATGTTGCTGGTTTATTCCGTCCACTTCCTTGATGTCAGGCTTCAGACACTTAAACGCTTGAGTGCTCTAACGATGGCCACTTGTGGTTTTCCAGCCAAATATAAAGAAATCACACTATCACGTTTGAATTCCATCACGAATAACTTTTTTTCTGGAAAATTATCACCAGAATGCTTTTATACGCTTGTAAAGAATATAATAAGCTGTCACTGAAATGATTTTAACAGCTGTCGGACGAGTGGCTTAGAAATGACAGCAGTCTGAAGTTGGTTGCAGCGTTTTCATGCCCATATTCGACGAACCTTTGGGCATTTTGGGGCCCATTCCAATCGACGAGGCTTGTCCGCAGGCAACATTCTTTGCGTCAATTGAATTTTGTACGGGAACAAATGCAAATCAATGCGAATAATCCGTTGTAAAGTGGACCGAGCCATGCCCAACTGCTGAGAGCGGCGTTTTTGGGATGTTCTTGGGGACCTCTCAACACTGGCTCGTACGGCAGCGATATTCTCGGCCGATCGCCTTGGTCGACTTTTATATGGCCTCTTCGGATTAGAAAGAGCCTTACCAGTCGAAAATTTTTCGTATAAACGCTTAATGGTGTTCTTAGAAGGCGCCCTTCTCACATTTTTTAATGTTTTAAAAGCACGTTGAGTTTTCACAATTGACTTCTTCTGTTGAATGTAAATTTCAACTATTTCAGAGCGCTCGCGTGGCGTGTATTGGTTCATGGTAAAAATCTGCTTGGACTGACGCTTCAAACGCGGTATGTCATTAAGCGATGTGACATCTCTGTCAAAAGTTATGGCGTTGCCAGATGGGTCCGTCGAATATGGGCAACCCTGTATATAATATCTGTATATTTTATTATATTGTACAGCATGTATTTAGACATCCTTTAAGTTTAAAAACTCTAACACGATGTGGAAACTGGCTTAAGCAAATTGTCATGAATATTTTAAATATTTGTTATCTGTTTAGCCTTACCTTTGAATTTCGACGTTTTTTATGAGCCCCTCAAAGTATGCTAGAAAATGTTGAAAGATAAAATGTGGAAAAAGTCTATTTACATATGGTTCTAGCATCATGTGTAATCTAGCCTTTACTCTCTGTTACAGAGAGTAATTTTTTTTTCAAAACGAAACTGACAGCTTTGCAATTTTTGCTGATCGTTACCATATCAATGAAAATCAAGCTCTCAAGTAAATGAGGATCATAATAATAAAATAATAAATTTTGCATATGTACTTCTAGGGACTTACACCCCTACAAATTGAAGATTTTTTTTTAGAATTTGCCAAAATCTCTCTCCATAGTGGGGCTGATAGATACAATCAACATTTGTTCTTTTGTTTTTTTTTTTTTTTCATAAATAACTTTTGGAAATACAAATATGCTGTAACTGCCCGGCTTTGTGAGCAAAATTAATAAAATATATCAAAGGCAATATGAATTTATGGAACCTCTTAAATATAATCCTAATTTTAGGAATTCGAGACGTTTTTTCTTCATAGTAACAGAACCATCTCTCCCTTTACATTGTCGTTGAAATTATCACAATTTGTTAAGCTTATCAAACATTAACAATCTCCATATTAAAATTATTACAATATCAGCTGTCGTTTTAGGGGACAAGGCATAGAAAACAACAATGACAGGGGGAAAATAAATAACAGCAGGGTACTATTTCAGTCTAAATAATGCGTTATTCTGGAGTATCATTATTAGCAGGCGGTTATAAAATATTCAAGTAGCATTCAAGTAGTAGTAAAAAAACGAATCTTTTCTAAGAAACACTTGTAATATTAATTTTCTAAATTTTGCTAAAATGAATTTAAAATTAAGGGGCAAACAAATCTAACAAGTATTTTATGTGTAAATTAATTATATGATTAAGAATTAAATTTATATATCAATTATTATAATATAAATAAATTGTACATATTTTTTTAAATCTTTTTTTTTTACTTAACTTTAAGCGTCACACCCTTCTTTGGACATTTTTATCTATCTATGTGACCATCATCACCATCAACTCTCAGCTGGATTTGTTTTGTGTCATAGACCATTCTGCTTTGTTATCCTGGCTGTGTGGCTTCAGCAAATAGTGGTTGACGGCAAAAATATAATGTCGGCAAGGTTGTTTAACAGCACCAGCACTTGATGTTGACTCTTTTTTTCACTTGTATGCTCTGCTCTGCTAGGCTAAATCGAGTCAAATTGCTTGAATAGATACAGAAAAATATATTCCATACTTCCAAGCTGGTGGTATTGCTGCTGTTATTTGCCTAGCTAAAGAGATTCTCTATTAAATGATGATTGTCTCCCTGGAAACTAAGAAGTATGAGTTGGAGAAGAGGAAAATCATCACTTCTTGGTACTGTGTGTGTGTTTAACTCTTCCCCCATCCATATTATACGTAATAGTTCAAGCAATGCAGGAAGCTGTAGCTTTTTTTATGTATCACAAATTCGCCGCCACCACCCTGTCACTGCTTTGCCGGCATATCTTTCCAGTTTTGCTCTCTTGAAGCAGAAACCACTGGCCGGTAGATTTCCCCAAAAAAAAATACTACATGAAAGAGATGCCCTTTATTACATTTAGCTATTGATTGCCTCTGTGGGAGAGGGATGGGGTGTTGGTTTTCATTTTATTTTTGGCGCATGCACTAAATATAACACAATTTCAGAGAATTATTTTTCTATTGAGAATTTTCATAAAAATATGGAAAAGGGGTGAAAATGAGGAAATGCAAAAAATAAAATAATATGATATAAATGGGATTTGCAATAAAAGGTGAGGGATATGGTAACACAATATTTCAGAAATTATAGAAAAGTCTTTTCAAAAAAAAAAAAAAAAAAAAAAAAAGGATCAATGGGAAACAGGCTAAAATACGTAAAGTTCGACCCTCCACCATGAGGTAAAGGGACCGTTTAAAAATGAAATCATCGGACTTGAATATTCGGTCCACTTCCATTTTTGTCAGTGAAATCGGTTGGTAAAAAGTATTCACACCGCTTTAAAATCGACAGTATAGGTTTCCTGCGAAGTGTTTGTTATGTATTTTAAATTTTAAATACCAATTTTGAAAAAAAAAATTGTTAAAATGTGGCTAAAATCACCAAAATTCCACATGTTTGGAGGCAGTACGAACCTAAATTACCGAATTTTAAACAAATCGTTAAGAAAATGATTAAACCACCAGAATACCGAATATTGGAAGATACCGTTATATAGGGGCAACAGGAAAACATGAACAATAATCCCAAAAAAGCCCACTCCGACTCGCATATAACAAATGCGATATGGAATTCAGAGAGTCATTATGTATTTTTTTTTTTTTTTTTGTCAATTCTTTCAACATCGTT